ATGGGGGTGATACTACACAAATATGCATAAAAGAAAATAAAATGAAAACTCAAAAAGTTCAAAGTATCAAAGAAAAAGGTAACAAACTTTATGTCTAGTTGTTCTATACATAGGAGTGCATCTATCTCCCGACCCGTTCTGTGGGTTGTGACACGTCGTTTTCCGTCAAGTTGTTTGCTCTCTAAGAAATTGGCGTTTCAGTGTGTCTTTGGACGAAAGTCGAAAAAAAAACTTTTTACGGTGGTCTGGTTCCGAGTCGCTCTTCAAAATAATTGTTCTTGGGTTGAAGAGGAGTCCGGAATTTTGCGTGAATCTTGGTCAGCTGAACTCACTGGAACTGCTGGAACTCAACTCTGGAAACTCAACTCTCCGCTGGAGCCCGAACTCTCTTATTTCTGCCTGTTGGGGCCTCGCTTTTATTGATGCCGACCAAAACCTGGGTGGGTCTGTCGGCGTCGGGGGGGTTCCTCTATAATTCTAAATACATATCCACCTCTTTTATTTCTGGTTAGGGATTTTCCACTCTTTTCCATTTTTGGGAAACTTTCCTTACTCCCACTTTCTCACCATACTTCAGAGGGCGTGAACTGCCCTCCCCACTTCTTCGTAGCAGCTTCTCATACTTATACTCTGGATGAGGCGTCGACAGCCTCCTTCGTGCGTCATGTGATCACCACTCGACCAATGAGGTCTTAGTCGGGTATCTTTCCTTCTCCTTCGTGCGTCACGTAATCACCACTTGACCAATGATGTCTTAGTCGGGCGTGAACGAATCCGCGGCTTTGTTTCGGGAAAAAAAAATATCTTGCTTAACTAAAAAAAAAATATCTCTTCTCTTTCCCTTTTCTTCCGCTTTAATCGCCGTTATCATTTTTCTATCCGCAAACGGACAATATGACAACTCTTGTTCTACACGTGGTTTTTGTCAGGTATTTTATCGCTAATTATCAAAATGTGTGGTCTTCTTAACACGGCCTCAAAAAAAAATATCTCTAAAGTTTCAGTCAGTCTGTCGCCTCCAAGGAAGAAGAAAAAACACTTGTGGGTCCCCATTCATTTTCCTTCGGTACATATTTCTGATAACATAATTTTATTATCGCAGGCCAAAGTTGTTTCGTCGAAAAAAAATCGGTCAGCGGACACGGCTTGTGTGGTTTTTAATTTTTCATATCTAACCAAAGTCCTGTAGTTACACCTGTGTTTTGTCAATTATCAAAATTAACGTTTTCAATTGAATTTTTCCCTGGCCAGCCGACCAGCCGTTTTGTTTACGTACTCCTAGATAACACAGCCGTTATCAAAACACATCTGTTTCTTTCTTTCTTTCCCTTTCTTCTTACCCAGAATTTCCCTGTCATTGTAATGACACACTTTCGCCATGGTTACTTATCAATATATTCATTGTCTCTTAGCCGTGTGTGTGTTCTGTTGATCACCCACGATTCGTCTCGCCTTTCTTTCTGCCTTCTTTTCTTTCTTTTCCTTTCTCTGCCTCGTAAATGGTGCCACAAAATATATATTATAAATACACATTAGTGTTTAGATTTTTAAATTGTTGTTTTATTTCCTACGCCCACAGACAAGAATTGTACATATAGAAACTAGTTAGGACTTCATGTAGATTCTGAGGTATTATGGTGGATGTAATAACAATGGTAAGTAAGAATGCATTTTTAGTGTAAAGAATACTGTGACGTATTTGGGTCAGTGATTGTGGCTAGCTAAGGTTAATGATAAGACAAGAAAACCACCCTTTCCCGATTCCACTCTTGGCTTTGTGTCACTTTTTTGTAAATTTCAGAAAATAAATATTGCTATGTTACTGTTGTGTCGGAAACCTACCACCCCTCTTGAAGATGAACTTGTCTGCGTCTGTGAACAAAGACTTTAAATAGTGGCATGCCAGTTGACATAGGGAAGATAGATAGACAGAGAAGTTCTTAGCTGAGCTAGTTATTGACTACTCAGGCGATTTCTGTACCTATTTACCAACCTATTAAAACCCTTTTTATTGTTATATGTTATTTGGCGTTTGTCTCTACTAACCCCAAATCAACATCATAACAGTTACGAAGCCTTTTTTTTTAATTTACGCGCAGTACAAAACTGGCGTTCAGATCTCATTAAAATTACTGATGAGCTGGCTTGATGTTACCGTAACTTCTATGCTGACAGTTTCCTTTCTCGCACTTCTAGCTTGCGGAACTCCCTTCCACCTCTATGCTTTCCAAACAACTTTAATCTGCAAAAATTTAAATACAATATTAATCCCTGTCTACTGTCCTCCTGATTACTGTTTTATATTCCCGCACATTATTAATGTTTCTAATTCATCCATACTTAGTAATCGTTTATGTCTTTTCCATCTTGCATGTGAGGATACCGATTTTAAAAAATAATTTGGCCGCGTACTTGGTGGTTTTCCTCTTGTTTGCTGTAATATCGAATCTTATTGTTAAGAGAACATGAACATTCCTTTTCTTATCCGTCACCATTTCGGTGTATAAAAGAGAGTTAACTTAAAATAATGAGGTGCAGAATTGTTTTCAAAAGATTAACAAATTTCACGACAACTCCCACGCTAAATCATTTCGTGATGGAGAGAGGTATGTATCATATTTTCCCGTTGATAACCCTGTCAGCAATACTAACTCATTTTCAGCTTTTGAGCATGCATAAAAATGGGAGTATTTGTAATATTGTTATGGTCTGGGTCCTTGTACCACGGTGATAGTCCAAGGCAGAACCAATAAAGAAGAACTCGAACACGTATATGGAATAACACGGATATATTAAAAACAGGAATATATACAGAGAAGTAGAAAGTGTTAGTACAAACAATCAGGTTTAGTAGTAATTGTCTGAACGCGACTCTGTTTCGGACTGCCTCTGACTCGACTGACTGACTCGCTCGGACTGACAGACTCCTGCCGGACTTCACTCCATACTTCAGACTGAACTCCTTCCTTCCTCTTGAGGCGCAGTATTTATTACGTATGGAATAATCCATTATGTTATTATGGGTAAGGTCCCGTAACAACTATGAATCCCTAAAGGATGCCTATCTATCTATCTATATATATATATATATATATATATATATATATATATATATATAGTGCTGTTCAGGAAAAAGTGACTCACCTGATTTTTTTTTAGTAAATCTTCTCCGATGAAACGAAAGTTGAGCTAAATTCAAAGGATAAAAGCGATCTAAAATCCGAAGAAGAAGTTTTTGAAAGCTCTTTGAATTTAGCAGTAAGTACTGTCAAGCATCCGTTCAGTATAATGTTCTGGGAATGCTTTTCTTTTCATGGGACTGGTTTCTTAAAACCTACATTTTCCCTCAGGATGAGCAGTACAAGAGAATTTTAGTCTCGTCTGCTCCCTTCTGCTGAAAGGGGCAAATCGTCCCCATCAAGCTCATTTCTATGCAGGATAATGTTCCCTGTCACAAATAAAAAATTGATGAAGGAATACTTTGATGAGAAGCAGGTGAGTGTTATGACATGAGCGCCCCAATCTCTGACCTCAACTCCATAGAAAACTTATGGAGCATGTTGCTCAACTGCATTCTCGAGAGCCTGTACTTTATAAGGCTGGCTCTGTTAAGTTTTTATATATATATATATATATATATATATATATATATATATATATATATATATATATATATATATATAAAACTTCGACCTAAGGTCATGATAGGTCGCTAAAGTTAGCGTCCTTCCCTCAATAGACACACATAGCTTAGAGAATAGATATCATTCTCTCTAACTCACCAACAGAATTAGTTCAAAATTTCCCTCATTTTTTAATGATAATCTTAGCAACGTTCTTTCAGTTTGCACTTTTCCCAGAAATCTTCCTTTGCATTTTCCTTACATAAAAGTTCCATACAGATTTAAAATTTCTATCTCGTTTTCTTTCTCTATTTTTATTTGTCTATTCTTAATCATTTCAAAACTTTTAAGTTTTTTGTTCTTCAGCACACGGCACCTTCCCATCTTCAAACGACGACCCCAAACCTGATAACAACAACAACTTGCTCTGTCTATATCCCTGAGATGATGTATTATGATTACTTATATTATTTACATTATTCGGACTGTTATCCTCATCTTTGTTGCCATATTATCAACCTTTCATCCGTTGTACGCTCTGATCTCCTTCGGGTGATTGGAATTTCGAACCGAACTCTTTATTTCGTCCAGCGGGTTAGATTGTTCTAGTTCCGCGTGCCTTGCCTCTTCCGGACATGGATCCAGTGACTAGACACAAAGAGTTTTGAGTTCAATACCAGGCCACAGTAGTAGTGAAGCAAAAACTTGGGGAGTTGAGTTTAAGGAAAATAACCGAGACATCACCACTGGACTCTCTCCTGATTCATGTACAAGTGATGGTAAAATCAGCTTGCATTAATTTTATTCATCATTAACTTGCCACGAGCACTCTGTGTAGACTTTCTAAGAAAACGGAAGTCACCCGGATTCAATGAGCAGCGTCTTTGTCAGCAGAAGTTTGAATTTGAAGGCAAATGATATATGCGGATTTCTTTCATTTGATTTTCCTTTGCCAATGCTACTATCTCACGCAAGAGACACCCGGAAGAGGCATGGCACGCAGAACTAGAACAATCTACCCCGGTGGACGAAATAAAAGGTTCGGTTCGAAATCCCAATCACCTGAAGAGGGCGGGAGCGTACAACGGCCGAAACGTTGAGAATATGGCAACGAAGATAAGGATAACAGTCCGAATAATGTAAATAATGTAACTTCTTACCCGTATCCCCCTTTCTCTTCGTCTTTCTCTCCTTCGTTATTGGTCTCTCTCCTCATTCAGGTACAAGCAATAGTAAAATCAGCTTGCAATAATTTTATTCATTATTAACTTGCTACGAGCACCCTGTGTAGACTTGCTGAGAAAACGGAAGTCACCGGTTTTCAATGAGCAGCCTCTTTGACAGCAGAAGTTGTTTGAATTTGAAGGCGAATGATATATGCGGATTTCTTTCATTTGTTTTTTCTCTGCCCATGCTGCTATTTTACGCAAGTCACGAGGCTGCCTTAACATTGAAACAGCAACACTCTCTAGGTAGGTATGTACGATGTCAAGCTTCATCTTTGCTTTTCACAGACGAAGCTATACTTGTCACAAGTATGATGCACCAAATGGAGATTAGTATCTCTACATATTAGTTTAACTGTTCGGACACTGATACTCCACCATTAGTTTGGTTTGGTTTGGTTTGTTTTGTTTTACGGTATATCAACCTCAATGGGTTATTTAATGCCGACAACTTTTTTTTATTCCTGGTAATATTTTTGTTTTGTCAAAAATCTATTTCTGTTAATATTTTTTTCTCAAAAGTATTTAGCTGGTAATATTACTTTTTCAAAAACGTATAGCTGGCAACAATATTTTTTCAAAAACGTATTATCAGAGGCCTTGCTGTTGGACGTTTATCGTCTTACCCAGGACGCGGGTGTAGTTTATCGTCATACCCAGGACGCGGGTGTAGCTTATCGTCATACCCAGGACGCGGATGTAGTTTATCGTCATACCCAGGACGCGGGTGTAGATTATCGTCATACCCAGGACACGGATGTAGATGTATTTTCTTTACATAAAGTTTTCAGTGTAATTTCTAGTTTTATAAGATAAAATAATAAACAAATAAAGAGTATATTTTGTAAAATCGGAGTAAAAGTACAATTAAAAAAATATTTTAATATTTGGAAATTTAAATTTACAAAAGCATTTCATTTTATTTTCAGTCTGCTCTTTCAAACATTTTAAATTTATTGCATTTGACCCAACAAACAAAAACATTTCTGTGAACTAACCCTACACCTAACCCTAACACTAACTCTAAAACTAACACTAAACCCAACTCTAACCTTATACCTAAATCTAACAATAAACATTACCCTAATCCTAGCCCTAAAACTAATCCTAACCCTAAAACTAACCCTAAGCCTAAACCTTAACCTAACATTAACCCTAACCCTAAACCTAACTCTAAAACTAACACTAACCCTAAACCTAACCCTGATCTTAAACCTAACTCTAAACCTAACCATAACCCTAAAACTAACCCTAAACCTAAACCTAACTCTAAATTTAACCCTCACCGTAACTCGTTATACACCTTTTTATTGTGCTTGATTTTTGGATTAAACATGTTCACTATGATGAATTTATTACTATGATCACGCAATCTTTTTATTCTTACACGATACATAAAGCATTTTCACAATAATTATTTTTACGTGTTGTATCCATATTATTATTGTTGATTTTAAAAGAAGCATTATTTTATTACAGTAGAATCCCTGACAATCGGACTGAAAAGGCTTCCGGATATATGGAATTTGTTACAAAGTCCTGTTATGAGATGTCATATTTAGATTAGAATAAAAGAACTGAAATCAGGTTTTACAGTGAACAAACTAAGGTAATGGTGAGTTAAATATAACGGAATTGGTTTTAATGAAAAAAAAATGTAATGTTAATGAAAATTCATTAAATTAAGTATGCCACGTATGCAAAACAAATAATGTAACGAGGATTTTTTAATCGCTGTTGCATGATGATTCTTTCTCTTCTAATGTCATTCCCAACTTTTTTCGTATTTAGTTTTGATTTTGTTCTTGAAATTTTTTAATTTTTAACTTTTTAACTCTGCCTGCGTTATTGTAATCGTCATATCTGAATGCTGGCTTTCTTTCCATAAAAGTGACAGCCTTTTCAATAGCTTTTTCAATTTCAGTCCAGGATTTATCGCAAATTTAAAGTAAATTTCCTGAAAAACAGAAATTTCAAATCAGTTACATATCCTTCAAATAGTTCAAATATACACATCAAAATCATGCGGGATTCCGGATATGAGGTACTCCGGATATGAGGCATTCCGGATATGAGGGATTCCGGATATGAGGGATTCCGGATATGAGAGATTCCGGATATGAGAGATTCCGGATATGGGATATTCTACTGTATTAAATTTACTCCATCTTAATATTGTTGTTTTTTGCGTGAAGTCTTCTCACTATTTGTTGTTGTTTTTTTTTTACTTTTTATTACTAGTTTTTCTCAATCTTATTATTTTTGCTTTTTAGCTGAAGCACTTCTAAGTATTATCACTTTATTACTAGTCTTGTTTCATACTATCATTATTATTATTGTTGCTTTAAATTTTAAAATAATATAGTAAAGTCCAAATTACTGTTTATAAACATACAATCTTCGACGATTTTTCTCGATCGATCATATTTGATAATGAAACGTATCTTAACGTAAATAATGACAGAATATAATGAAATGGATTAAGACCGACAGTTATTTAATATATTTTCCGTTTATATGTTATTTTTTATAGATATAATTTATTTGGTCTGTTTTTATTTAAAAAGTATTAATTACATTTGCCAACTTGAAAGTTCGAGAAACGGTATCGCGCGACAAATTAAATGACGGTCTGCCTATAGGAATACAGG